CACCGTACTTCTTTTATTGATTTTGGTAATCGAAGTTCTCTTGGCAGTTTTCTCTTCTATATCTAAAGAAAATTATAATGACAGTCTAAGATATAACTTCAAGTCTTCAATGGGAAGATATTCGTTTGAAGATACTGATCGTCAAGCCTGGACCAACATACAGCGAAAAGTCCGTTAGCATAACAATTAATTGTTTTATATTATCCATGAGTTACTATTCATAATTGTTTTCTTAGCTCGAGTGTTGTGGGGTGGATACGCCAAAAGATTGGTTAATTATATTCCCAGAAAATCAAGTTCCTGTATCATGTTGCCAAAATTTACCACTAGAGTCTGGAGCATTATGTCGTAATTTATACGATGAAAGAATAATATATCAAAAAGGTTGTTATAATGTTTTAGGCAATCGAATAAAAAATCGAATGAACGTCATCAAATATGTTGCTTTAACATTCGCTTTATTGCAGGTAATGAATTTATTCTAAATTATATTATGNCGCTTTATTGCAGGTAATGAATTTATTCTAAATTATATTATGTTAACTTTTAATTCTAAGTATTTTCAATTATTTTTTAAAAATAAACAAAACCTTTCCTGTTGAATATTAAGTGTGAAGCAAAATTTTATATTGAATGAATAATATGTACCAATAAACGAAAAATATACAATACACTATAGGAAATTTTGACAAGCGGCGATATTCATTTGTTGTATTTAATTTTAATTATTAAACCTAAAGCAAATTGTCCCTCTGTACTTAAAAATGACACATTATATTGATAGCTTAAATTACAAGTATATTTTTTACAATTCATGAGTGTATCAATAAAAGTTGACAATGAAGTTTTTCTTATAACTTTCAATACATAGTATTATGGTAACACGACAATTATTTTTTAATACTATTAATATTTATAAAGAGCAGATTGTAGAATAGTGTAACGAGTTTCGAGGTTATATGAGAATCGATTTCAAGTCGGTGCGTATAAGGACTGAAACTTAAAAGTTAATGATCAAGGAAAATTTTATTTTCATTAAATATTTTAAAATGATAACCGTAAATGATTGTATTTAAAAATGATATAATCCGTAAGTTAAAAGTTTCTAACTCGTTTTTAAAATGTCGAAATTTTCTTGAAAACAGTTTGAAAGTTGAGATTGTAA